AACCTAAATTCAGTCCTCGACTACTGAAGGTATCCTAATGATGCCAATTAGCCATTACCCGAATACCATCATATGTGACGAGGCTCGGATAATCCTTCGAGTAACGGACTCGTCCCTACAACGGTTAGACTCAAACAAGAGCTGCGCAATAGGGCCAAATCCAGCACTCTGAGATTATTCAACCCTGATTACATGTGACTTAACTTATTCACCTAATGGCTAACTCCCATCACTTAGAGTCCCACAAAGCACAAAGCAAGTAGCATTCAGACGAAGGAAACCTACCACATAATCCAATCATACTGCTCTATCCTCTACTCAGGAATCTATACTAGCATGCAATCCATAAGGCTCATACACATATAATAGGCACATAAGGCGTCCTCCTAGATCCTTAGTCCTAATCTAGCATGCAGTTCTAATAAGCACATCATAACATAACTTGTATGGGTATTTTGGGGTACTTACTTGAGCTCGGCCGGTTGCGCACATCACACACCTTGTTCTTTCTCAAAACTCTTTAACTTAGATTTTAGAAAACCATTTTCTTTGTAAAAATCTTTTAAATCCCTTGGTTTGAGTCCAGACACTCCCGAGGGTGTGTCTGAATCCCTCAAACCAGGGCTCTGATACCAACTTGTAACATCCCATTTTTCAAGTCCAAAAATTTCGATTTTTGATATACAACATAGAAAACAGTCATAAGAAAATATCATGAAGTCATATCATTTCGTAAAAACCGTAATATCATGTCTTAAAATCATATCATAAAAGTAGTGACAATGTCAGAGTACAATCCCAAGAAATCTCATAATGCGGAATCCAGTGTGTGTATGATGTGCAGCTACCGCGCCGGCTCCTTCCCTTTCGCTGAAGAGGTACCTGAAACCAAAACTAAAACTGTAAGCACGAAGCTTAGTGAGTTCCCCCATCATACCACATACCATACAAACACATGACATACATATTGCCAGGCATATCTGGGTGCCCGACCTACCCCTTCGGTCCTCTCGACCGGTGATCTCGCCTAGCATTTCTGGGTGCTGGCCTACCCCTTCGGTCCTCTCGACCGGTGACCTTGCTTAGCATTTCTGGGTGCTGGCCTACCCCTTCGGTCCTCTCGACCGGTCTATCACACACAGTCACGTAATCGTAATCTAACATAGCTAGGTACTAAACTACCCCTTCGGCCCTATCGGCCGGTAACTTGGGGACTATCTCCCCTCCCCCCTACTACTACCATCATCACTTAACATTATATCATGCTGGCATATAAACATAACAGGTAGTAGCAAACCTAGATGAATATCATCAAGACAATCATCTAACATACAACTCCTATTGGTGGGCCGGCATTGTGGCCGTAGACCCACCACTACTGGAAGGTAACTCACCTCGATGTCATGTACTGTCTGAACTGTCCTCGGCGCGAAGTTCGGCCCTCCTCGACTCCTCAATCCCTACACGACAACCTTCAAGTCATCAAACCGATCGTACAACCCAACCCGGGTCAATACCAAAACCAGGCAAGTCCACTTTGGTCAAGGTCAACGCCCAGTTGACCTGACTCGCCGAGTTGGTCTACCAACTCGTCGAGTCCATGCCCCAATAACCCGATCCAACCCCGTCACCAATCGTCGAGCCTTGCGAGAACTCGTCGAGTTCTCCTTCATTCAAACCATCAGGACCATCTTCATCCGACTCGCCGAGTTGTATGAACAACTCGTCGAGTTTATCTTCATCCTATGAACATGTCCAGTCTGTGACTCGCCGAGTTGTATGAACAACTCGCCGAGTCCCTATTCAAGGGTTGGGAGATTGCCTTGGACTCGCCGAGTATGTTCATACGCTCGCCGAGTCCCATGGTCCCCGAGACCCTTTTACGAGTCTAAACATTTACGGGATTTCCTTCCCGAACCACTGGTCCAACCACAGAAGGGATTTAGTGGTTACTACGCACCGACTCGCCGAGTTCCAAGAACAACTCGTCGAGTCTCTTCTTGACCCTTACCATACAATCGATTTAAATGGGTCTTAACATGTCAAAACCATAGATCTGGCCTCCTAATGTCCATTTTATACGTAAAGTTCCAAACTTGGTGCACATGCATGGGGTTTTTGGCTCAAAAATCCATAAAAGGTGCTTTACAATGTGCATGGGGCTCTCATGGCCATAGAGTTGGCACCTTTATGCCATGAGACCCCTCTAATGACTCAGATCTGAAAGTAGAACCCCATGAATCACTTCACAAACCCGAAAATGGCTTAGAAAGCCCTAAATGCACCCAAAATCTAAGCCCTAAAGATGAACAACCAAATGAAAGACCAAAATAGGAGGTATTTACCTTGATTGAGCTGAAGATGGAATAAGATCTCTGGATCTACAAGCCCCAACTCGAATTCCTAAGCTTCTTCCTTCCTTCCAAGCTTCACAAACCACCAAAAGCACCAAAAATGGCCTTAGATCACTCAAAGCAGCTAGGGTTTCGATATGAGGTGTTCTGGGAGCATAAGGGATGAAGGAGGTTGTAATAAGATGTTTAAATAGGGTGCAAACCCTCAAATTTAGGGTTTCACCCAAACAACACCTACTCGCCGAGTCAGTCTTCCGACTCGTCGAGTAGGTCACTTAAACTGTCCGCGGATCCCGTCTCTACTCGACGAGTTGGGCCATCAACTCGTCGAGTCCCAGAGAAAAATACATAAAATTCTTGAATTAATGACATACCAGGAATCGGGTGCTACAAACTCTCATCAAACCTTTTTTTTTCCTTTCAATCAAACGCTTTTGTGTAAATATTGGATCAATACCCATTTCAATAGCAATGTCCTTAGCTTTATCAATCGCATTTAAAACACCATTTCTCAATAATCCTTTAAGTACCGAATCAATTTGTTTATTTATGTAACAACATTATCAGGATGCATATCCTTTGACTTTAACTTTTTACTCACAATATTCACATGGTTTAGCACGTCATGTCAGATAGCAGTTGATACCAAAAATTCAAAGTCACCAAGTTCTTTTTCTGCTAGTGAAGTTCATGTGCATTATCTTGGGCACACGATCCAAAACGAACTAATACTTTCGATAGCTCAAGAAATTAAAAAAGAACTTATCAAGACAATAAAGGAAGCAAAGTACTACTCAATCATACTTCATTGTACTCTTGAAATAAAAAATATTTGGCACAATTCCCTTTAGTCATATTGAATGGCACATATGATCCATCATATATTTTATACGGTGCAATAAATATAATTGAATAAAAAAATATTTTAAAAAGCATAAAGCATGACACATATAGTTTAATAAATAATTAAATTAACTAATTCAAACGGTTACTAAAAAATTTCAGCGCAATAATAAAAACTATTTGATATAAAATAACTAATATATATATATATATATATATAATATATATATATATATATATATATATCGGTTTAAATATTTCTACTATTTATTATGTGCATGTAGAATTGATTCTGAACCAATCATTTTAGTTATTTTAATAAAGTAATTAATGCATATTAAATGTAAAAGATTTAATTAATACTCATTATATTTTCAACATGTAATATGCATTAGTTATTTTCTTAAAATAACTAAATTGATTGGTCAAGAATCAATCTTACATGCACACAATAGATAGTTAGAACACAATAACCTCTATATATATATATATATATATATATATATATATATATATATATATATATATATATATATATAATGTCATGTATACTTTTATAAAGTTTAATACATTATAACAAAAAATATATAAAATTTTGAAAATAGTATGAAAATATATTTTTATAAAGTTAATAGTACATTATAACAAAAACTATATACAAATTTGAAAATAATGTAAGAATGTGTTAAATTCTATGAACTTCAATTAGGTTATAGATACCTTAATTAATAGTAACTAGTTTTTTTTTTTTAAAGGAAACTTTCTTAACGAGGGTTTTCGGGCCAGCTTTTGCGCACTGACTAATCATCGCTATAAACATGAGGCTTTGCCTCATGTCCTGGAGTCACTACAGGTGAACCTCCATGGCCAAATTAATAGTAACTAGTTGTAAGACCCGAATGTTATACGGGTTGAATAAAACAAAAAATTAAATATAAAGGTTTAAACAAAATTTTATTTAAATTTGAAATTTAAAATTTAAATTTAAAAGGAAACATATTAAATACTATATTTGTAATAATATTATAACTTATTATTTATTTTCAATTAAGAAAATTATTAATTCAAAATTATTAATTGAAGTAGTTATTTTCAAATAAGAAAATTATTAATTGAAAATTATTAGTTGAAGTATAAACATGTTGTGTTATGTGTTAATTTAGAAAAAATTAAAAAAAAAAATTAAAAAAATGACGAATGAAAAAATAGTTATTCAAAAATACCGAAAAATAACATGTGTCCAAGTCAGCGGCGGACCTTAGTGGAGCGGTCCCGGGCCACTGCTCAATTTACGACACGTGTAAATTTGTTTTTTTTTTCTAATTAGGTGTACCGTTTTGAAGTACGAGAGACACCCCTACTAAAACAGTCTGCGTCCGCCTCTGATCGAAGTTAATAAAAGAATGAAATGTGGCAAGAATTTTTTTTTATAAATATATATCCCTATTTAAATTACAGATATACTTCCCACCTTCACCTGCTTTCAAAAAGTCCTTGGGCATGGACCGCTGAACTTCATCTCATGTGAAGCCAATTTTTCTTGGCCCGGTTTACTAGTTCTAATTAAAAACTTACCATACTCTATATATAACATATTCCTTACCTACTAATTCAAACGAGGTATTATTAACGACGGGTACTTCCCGAGGACATCATATGCAAACTGTGCACCCCGTTCACAAACCACAAAAAGAAACACAAAACAGAGCGAGACTGCTAAATACGCCAAACAGAAACATATTAATATTATAATTAAGTATGCATCCATTCCATACTACAACCTCCCATATGCATGCACATCCATCACAGGTAGGTGCCGCCGGTGCCGGTGTGGTGGCCGGTAACACTGGTGGTTCCTCCCGCCTGTCTCTGTGCAGCGTTGTGCTCACGAGCCGCTTCCTTCTCATACTCAGCTTCGTGTTTCCTCTCCTCCTTCTTCTCCCTAGCCATCTCCTTCTGCATCGGGTCATGAGCAGTCATCTTCTCTCCCTATTAATTCCAAAAAAAAAACAAACAAACAAAAACAAACTATGAGATGCTAAATAGTAATCATCAGAAATCATACGCGAAATTAACAGAAGAACCAATAATGGAAACCTTCTCTTGAAGGGTGGCTTTGGTCTTTTCCATTCCAGCTTTGGCGGAGGCGGCCATGTTCGCCGCCGACTCCTTGACGGATGATCCTGTATTCTTGCCTGTCTGCATTTTGTTTCACAGTGAGAAAGTTTGTATGATCTTCTTTTAGTTGGATGGTAGATTGAACCGAAGAAGATTGGGATATGCCTTAAATAGATTTGCACAAGTTACGTCGGTCGATGACACGTAGAGAAACCGTGCTATGTGTTTGGGATATTGTGCCACAGCGTGTCGCTGTGACACGTATCACAATGGGAACAGATGGTTGCTATCCTAAAATGCTAGATCATGTTGTAATTACTAAAAAAAGATGAATGACCATCTTGAAAAAGAAACTATGACCGAACAATATTCATTTTTTATAAAATAGATTTGTAAGATATTTTTTTTTATAGGCAAGAGAGTTCTAAAATGATTTTTATAAAACACAAATTAAAAAAAATGTGGTTTTCAAAAAAAAAAAAATAGCCCTTAACTTTTTAGGTCATTAAAGTTGGTTCATGTGGTTTCAAAAAAATTTATGGTTGTTATTTTTGGCTAACTCCGTCATATTGGAGACGTTAACTCTCCTCACATGCTTTGTATGTAAGGGTATTTTCGTCAATTCAATTGAGCTTCCTCATTTAATGTTACTGATCATTTCGTCTTGATGCATGTATTTCCATCTTCCTCTCCATCTTATCAACCTCATCCCTTTCCTAAGAAACCCACATCTTCCTTCGTCCTCCCAACTTCCGATTAACAGAGCAAGTTCAAACATCTTAGGGGTTTCAAGTAAACAAAGGATAATGGTACTCTGTGTTTACAAATTAGAATATGCATGGAAAAACCAAAAAAAAAATATTATAGACTAGGAAGCTGAATAGGGTACACTTTTACATAAAAGCATCTATTTTTTACTTATAATGTGTTGATCAAAGTCGTAATGTGTTTACCCTTTCTAATTTGTGATTGTTGTAGGATTTCCCAACTACTTCATATTTAAGATACATTACATTGGATTGTTCACCAAGACCCCATGTAGAAAAATATGTAGATGGGATTGTCTCATATTTTGACTTCATTGATACAAACCTTTTTTCAATACACATCTTGATGAAATGGTTAAAGATTTATGATACCAAAATGAAAATTCATTATACTACCATTACTGTATCCTTGATGTCCCATTAGATTATGGCTTAATGCCCTTAAGGAATGACAGTGATGTTATAAAAATGGTCACATATGCACCTAAACATAGACAAATCTGTTTATATATTGAAACTGGGGCACAAGGTTTTTTACATATTATAAATCCATGTCCAAGGTTGTCACTGAGGAATTGGAAACTGAAACTGTCTCACCAGAGTATATAAAAAGAAAAGCAAGAAAAGGAGACACGAGTTCTTGTAGTAGGAAAATAGATTTAAATGAACATGTATGTGAGGGACTTATAGTAACACAATCACAAGTAACTGTTGTTGATGAAGCCGTATCATATGATAAGTGTATTGTACCATATAGAATGTCAAATGCTACCGAAGAAAGTCAAGTATTTAATGTTGACAGAAAGTCAAGTATTTAATGTTGACATTGAAGCAGAAACTAGAGGTGTGCAAGATATAGCAAAAATAGATCAAGTTGATCAATTGAAAAAGCCAAGAGTAAGAGCCAAGCTATCATGTATAATGTAATTTCCAGAATGTAGAAGTTCCAAGATATAAGGATGGTGGTGGCGTCTAAAGTAATATGGTAGATAAGTATGAGTTAATCCTAGAAGATTATTCAATTTTAGTTGAATTTGATTCAGAGTATAATGTTCAAGGAGAAAGGGTTTTAAATGGAGACGGACTCTTTGGATATGAAACCAATGAGGCTATTTAGGCAACTAATCACAATGGATATGAAAGTTGTGAGGATGGTGGGGATAGTGAGGATAATTCATTATATGTAGATGATTCAAGCCTCTATTATAATGTAGATATGGATATGGATATGAGTGAAGCTCTCCTAGCGTTCTTGATAGCTAATTGGTTGAGCAAATCTTCGTAGTCTATACTCTCTAAGATTTCGTTCTCGATAGATATCATCGCCAAACCACTAAGTCTTTCTTGGGACATTGTGGAGCGTAAGTAAGACTTCAATAACTTCAACTTAGAAAAACTCCTTTCTGCAGATGTCACTGTTACTGGAATAGTCAACGATATTCTATATGCAATGCTTGCATTTAGGAAATAATCAAGTTCTTTCAAAAACTTCAAAACATCTATAAGGTTGCTAAATTCATTGGTTTCCAATGTCTCAAATAATTTCAACTCCGTATAAAGTTCCTCGGCATCAATATCCGATCTTTCTTCAAATTTGAGTGCTTTTTCAAGACGATGACAAGACGACTTAAGATCTTTATCTTCAATTCCCTTCAAATTATGTGGAAATAAAAAACCAAATACTTTGTCATACTCTTTGAATTGTTCAAATCTTGTCTCAAGAGAAGAAATAGCTTGATCAACAAAGTATAAGAAATAATTAACTCTGAAATTCTCTTCAGGTGTAAATGAAACTTCTTCTCTACTTGAACTCTCATCAAACCTTTGTTTTCCTTTCAATCAAACGCTTTTGTGGAAATATTTGATCAATACCCATTTCAATAGCAATGTTCTTAGCTTTATCAATCGCTTTTAAAAAATCATTTCTCAATAATCCTTGAAGTACCCAATCAATTTGTTTATTTCTGTAACAACATTATCAGGATGCATATCCTTTGACTTTAACTTTTTACTCATAATATTCACATGGTTTAGCACTTCATGCCAGATAACAGTTGATACCAAAAATTCAAAGTCACCAAGTTATTTTTCTGCTAGTGAAGTTTCTTCACTTGCAATTGCAGCATCATTATCTTTTTCTCCAACTTGAAGTAAAGCTTCTCGTACGTCAACAAGTTGCATTTTAATAGCCTTTACACTCTCAACTCGGCTTTCCCAACGAGTTTGACACATTGACTTAAGACTCCAAACTTTTACATTATCTTTTAAGATTTCCCACCTCTTAGTAGAATTTGCAATGATAGTATAAATGCGTTGGATGAATCCAAAAAAGTTCTTTCCTTTAACACACTTGTTAACCATATCACATAATGTTAGATTAAGAGAATGACAACCACAAGGAGTGTAAAATGCTCTAGGATTTATATCTAAAAATCTTTTTTGCACTCCTTGGTGTTTTCCTTTCATGTTTGCTCCATTATCATCTTGACCACGCATATCATCAATTTCAAGACCAAAAGACTTTAACTCCTCAAGTGTAATATCAAATAGTCCTTTTCCGGAGGTATCATCAACATTCAAAAAACCTAAAAAGGACTCCTCAACAGTAACATAATTATATGATAACTTTAAATACCTCACTATTATAGTCATCTATTCTTGGTGACTTGAATCAAGAGTACAATCGAACTGCAAGGATTCGCAAAAGGACTTGTTTCCAGTAATCTCTTTCTTTCTTGTATTGCTCGTATTGAACTTTATTAATTGTTTCATTCAAGTTCAATCTTTTACGCATATTAAACCACTTATTCCTATTTGTGAGATGATCCAAGGAAATTTCGTGTTCTTTAACTCTACTCGTAACATGGTGCCAATCTGAATAACCTTCGTCACCCAATTTACCTTTAGAAATCCCTTTTCTAAACACTTTACAACAAAAACAAAATACATTGTCGAGCTCTTTCGAATATACTAGCCATTCTCTATCACACTTCTCCAAATTTGGTAAAGTTCTTGTATATAAAGCTGTAGAAAATCGTCTAACAGATTTATCGTAGGGACCATACATAATACTAGTATCTCTTTTAGGACCTTTCTCAACCAAAAGTTTAAGCTATTCATAATTAAGTTTTTCCCACCTTCTTGGATCACATATATCAACGAGCTCTTTAACGGGCTCTTACTCTTTTGCCTCTTCTACTTCTACTTCTACATTTTCTTGGTGTTCAACATGCTCTTCAACAGGTTGTCTATGAATAAACTTATCTAGAGCATCGGCGTCGACTTTCTCTTTTCTTCTTCTAGTTTTCTCTTTTTACGTTTTTGACTACCGGATGGTTGTTTAGACTTCATCACTATAATTTTATTACTTTCAACTTTCAATATGATAATATCATAATAATCACAATTTCAACTTTCAACAGAATTTAACCTTCAATCATATAATCAGATTTTTGAATTCAACTTAATTTCAAAATTCAATCAATAATCACATAAACAACATTCAATCTTAATTGAATTAGTGAATTTTGATTATGATTCAAGTTTAATTATTCTATAATGATTCAAGTCCAATTGCTCATCAATCATCATTCAATTATAAACTAATAAAACTATTAATCTGATTATCTGAATAAGTGAATAATCAAATAGACAATTGCCTGATATGAAGTTATGAATGATCAATTTCAATGCTTCTCCTTCCCTTCTGCCGCAGCGAATTCATAGTAACATATGCGATAAGTGCTTAAGCCGCTAATAATCAATTAATCAATAATAATTGTCAATTGATGAATTGTCGCTGAAGCCTTTGTTGTCGAGTGCCGACCTGCTATCTACGTTTGTGGACTAAGAAAAGATTTGGGCTAAGAGTTTAAAATGGGCTGCAATTGAATATATTAAAAAAAATGGGCCCCTTACAAAACCAGGCCCTCGTTGCCCCCCCTTACCACCGGCTATGCCTATGATAGTGAAATGGCGGAAATATCCTTCATTTAACGGACAAAACCTGACGAAGTTAGCAATATGGGCCTTTTGTTAAAAGTTTTGAAACCATAGGGACCATCCTTGAAGTTTTTTAAAATTAGGGACGAAACTTTAGCTTTTGTGAAACTAGAATGACCATTTATGAAGTTTTGTATATAATATAAGTAAAAACTAAAACATGTTAAAGAGTTCCTTTGTGAGTCAGGCCTGGCCAAAAGCTCATAAAGGCGTTCAACTTGTGGTAGACCTGCACAAAAAGACCGGTCTTCGACCGGACCCAAAAAAAGACCAAGACCGAACCGGTTTAAAACGTGACCGGACCGAAAAAATACCGGT